AGTATGGGTCTCTGTGGGTCTCTGTGTCTCTGTGGGTCTATGGTGTCTATGAGTATGGGTCTCTGTGGATCTTTGCGGGTCTATGGGTCTCTAGGGTCTCTGTGGGTCTATGGTGTCTATGAGTATGGGTCTCTGTGGGTCTCTGTGGGTCTATGGTGTCTATGAGTATGGGTCTCTATGGGTCTTTGCGGGTCTATGGGTCTCTATGGGTCTCTGTGGGTCTATGGTGTCTATGAGTATGGGTCTCTGTGGGTCTCTGTGTCTCTGTGGGTCTATGGTGTCTATGAGTATGGGTTTCTGTGGGTCTATGGTGTCTATGAGTATGGGTCTCTGTGGGTCTCTGTGTCTCTGTGGGTCTATGGTGTCTATGAGTATGGGTCTCTATGGGTCTTTGTGGGTCTATGGGTCTTTGTTGGTCTATGGGTCTCTGAGTATGTGTCTCTGTGGGTCTATGGTGTCTATGAGTATGGGTCTCTGTGGGTCTATGGTCTCTCTGAGTATGGGTATCTGTGGGTCAGTGGGTCTATGGTGTCTATGAGTATGAGTCTCTATGGGTCTTTGTGGGTCTATGGGTCTCTATGGGTATCTGTGGGTCTATGGTGTCTATGAGTGTGGGTCTATGTGGGTCTCTGTGTCTCTGTGGGTCTATGGTGTCTATGAGTATGGGTCTCTATGGGTCTTTGTGGGTCTATGGGTCTCTTTGGGTCTCTGTGGGTCTATGGTGTCTATGAGTATGGGTCTCTGTGGGTCTCTGTGTCTCTGTGGGTCTATGGTGTCTATGAGTATGGGTATCTGTGGGTCAGTGGGTCTATGGTGTCTGAGTATGGGTCTCTGTGGGTCTATGGGTCTCTATGGGTCTTTGTGGGTCTATGGTGTCTATGAGTATGGGTCTCTATGGGTCTTTGTGGGTCTATGGGTCTCTATGGGTCTCTGTGGGTCTATGGTGTCTATGAGTATGGGTCTCTGTGGGTTTTTGTGGGTCTATGGGTCTCTCTGGGTCTTTGTGGGTCTATGGTTCTCTGAGTATGGGTCTCTGTGGGTCTATAATGTCTATGAGTATGGGTCTCTGTGGGTCTCTGTGTCTTTGTGGGTCTATGGTGTCTATGAGTATGGGTCTCTATGGGTCTTTGTGGGTCTATGGGTCTTTGTCGGTCTATGGGTCTCTGAGTATGGGTTTCTGTGGGTCTATGGTGTCTATGAGTATGGGTCTCTGTGGGTCTCTGTGTCTCTGTGGGTCTATGGTGTCTATGAGTATGGGTCTCTGTGGGTCTTTGTGGGTCTATGGGTCTCTATGGGTCTCTGTGGGTCTATGGTGTCTATGAGTATGGGTCTCTGTGGGTCTCTGTGTCTCTGTGGGTCTATGGTGTCTATGAGTATGGGTCTCTATGGGTCTTTGTGGGTCTATGGGTCTCTATGGGTCTCTGTGGGTCTATGGTGTCTATGAGTATGGGTCTATGTGGGTCTCTGTGTCTCTGTGGGTCTATGGTGTGTATGAGTATGGGTCTCTATGGGTCTTTGTGGGTCTATGGGTCTCTATGGGTCTCTGTGGGTCTATGGTGTCTATGAGTATGGGTCTCTGTGGGTCTCTGTGTCTCTGTGGGTCTTTGTGGGTCTATGGGTCTCTGAGTATGGGTCTCTGTGGGTCTATGGGTCTCTGAGTATGGGTCTCTGTGGGTCTATGGGTCTCTGAGTATGGGTCTCTGTAGGTCTATAGTCTCTGTGCGTATGGGTATCTGTGGGTCAGTGGGTCTATGGTGCCTATGAGTATGGGTCTTTGTGGGTCTATGGTGCCTATGGGTATGGGTCTCTGTGGGTCTATGGTCTCTGTGAGTATGGGTATCTGTGGGTCAGTGGGTCTATGGTGTCTGAGTATGGGTCTTTGTGGGTCTATGGGTCTCTATGAGTCTGTGGAAGCACGCGTTTAGAGTATTCGGCTGCTATACATTTCTACATGACCATGATAATGATGATGGGGCATTGCACCTGCTAAACAAAACAACAATTGGCCCAGGCTGATAAGACGTCGTAGACAGACGCAGGGCAAAGTCGTGTATCTGACCCATCGCACTACCACCATCCCCGCCACCACCACCCCCAAAGATAAAGACCCCCCGTATAGCCTTAACAGGCTGTAGGGGCAAGTGCTGTTAGCGAGCACCTCTAAAGGCCGGCACGGCACACGAGGGGGTGGGGTGCCAGCACCACGCCCGACCGCCTTTGTCTCTCTAGTGTCGATGTTTAACTGCACACCGCACCAGGTTACTCATTTGAGGCTGAATCGACCTCGGGGGAGGCCCAGGACCGGTTCAGGATAATCGTCACCGGTGGCGTTGGCCGCGAGCGGGAATCGAACCCGGGTCGCCAGGTTTCGTAGCGAAGCGTAGCGCTAACCGCTGCACCACCGCTACCCCAAGACCACTACCTCCACTACCACCACACCCACCAGCCGCGTCTGATCAATTAGCCGCCCACTCCCGACGTTTCTTGAGCGCTGCTCTCTGTAAGCCGACCTTCAGACACTTTTACGCCTCTGAACGGGACTCAGACGAGGTTGCTGTCAGCGGAACGCAGCGTAGACGTACACACGCACGTACAGTGAGGGGGGAAAAATAAGTATTTGATCCCATGCTGATTTTGTACGTTTGCCCACTTACAAAGAAATGATCAGTCTTTAATTTTAATGGCAGGTTTATTTGAGCGGTGAGTGAAAGAATAACAAGAACAAAATCCAAAAAACGCATGTCAAAAATGTTATAAATTGATTTGCATTTTAATGAGGGAAATAAGTATATGACCCCCTCTCAATCAGAAAGATTTCTGGCTCCCAGGTGTCTTTTATACAGGTAACGAGCTGAGATTAGGAGCACACTCTTAAAGGGAGTGCTCCTAGTATCAGCTTGTTACCTGTATAAAAGACACCTGTCCACAGAAGCAATCAATCAATCAGATTCCAAACTCTCCACCATGGCCAAGACCAAAGAGCTCTCCAAGGATGTCAACCTTGCTATGTTTGTGTGTGTTGAACTTCATAGACTACACGCGACACTACATTACCATACACATACGCTACACACTACACTTGTATACACTATAAACTACGCACTACACCTGTATACATTATGCACTCCACACTACACTATACACTACCCTACATTACACACTCCACACTGCACTATACACTACATTACACACTACCCTACACACTACACTACCCTACACACTACACTCCCCTACACTACACACTCCATTACCCTGCACTACACACTACACTACAGCACACGACACACTACACTACACACTACGGTACACACTACACTACACACTACACTACACTTGCCATGTAAAAAAAAGATAACACCTCTTTCGATTTAAAGCTTTCGTGACTGCAAGGATTCATCTTCTTTGGTTCTTTCGGTAAAGTCACCACCACGTAGAATGAGAATCAAATAATAAATTGATAAAATACATATTATTGCGTTATTTTATTTTATCAATTTATTATTTTATTCTCATTCTACGTGGTGACTTTTACCGAAAGAACCAAAGAAGATAACGCCTCTTGTTATTTTGGTTACCCCCCCCCCCGCGCCCCTCCCCTACGCCCCCCCCCCCCACTGACCATCGTCAACCCTCCCCCACCCGCCCCCTCCCCCCCCCCCCCACTGACCATCGTCAACCCCCCCCACACTCACCGCCCCCACCGATCCCCCAAGTGTGGGCAGAGCAAAGTCCACGGCCGACTCTGAGGACACTTTGCCTGACCGCGGCGGCGATCCTCGTCGGCGGAGGCGGTGGGGCAAACATCGGCGCCACCGCCGCCGTCACCACCACCACCAACAACACCACCGCCACAATCACCGTCACCGTCAACACCACCACCAACAACGACACCGCCGCCGTCACCACCACCGTCACCACCACCAACAACAACACCGCCACAATCACCGTCACCGTCACCACCACCACCAACAACACCACCGCCACAATCACCGTCACCACCGCCGTCACCACCACCAACAACACCACCGCCACAATCACCGTCACCACCGCCGTCACCACCACCAACAACACCACCGCCACAATCACCGTCACCACCACTGTCACCACCACCAACAACACCACCGCCACAATCACCGTCACCACCGCTGTCACCACCACCAACAACACCACCGCCACAATCACCGTCACCACCACCGTCACCACCACCAACAACACCACCGCCACAATCACCGTCACCACCGCCGTCACCACCACCAACAACACCACCGCCACAATCACCGTCACCACCACTGTCACCACCACCAACAACACCACCGCCACAATCACCGTCACCACCACCATCACCACCACCAACAACACCACCGCCACAATCACCGTCACCACCACCGTCACCACCACCAACAACAACACCACCGCCACAATCACCGTCACCGTCACCACCGCCGTCACCACCACCAACAACACCACCGCCACAATCACCGTCACCACCACCGTCACCACCACCAACAACACCACCGCCACAATCACCGTCACCACCACCACCAACAACGACACCGCCGCCGTCACCGCCGCCGTCACCACCGCCAGCAACACCGCCAACAACACTACCACCGACCGTCACCAGCAACACCACCGTCACCGCCGCCGTCACCGCCACCGTCACCGCCGTCACCACCACCACCACCGGCACCACCACCAACAACACCGCCACCGTCGTCACCGCCACCAGCAACACCGGCGGCGGCAGCAGCGGCACCACGAATCTGCCGCCTTGCCACACGATGCCGTCCATTACTCCCAGCCATCGTCGTCATCATCATCAGCAGCAGACTCAGCAGCAGAATCGGCATCAGCATCATCATCATCAGCAGCAGCAGCAGCGGCATTGGTCGCAATCAACCGCGGCCACGCCAACGCCGTCGTGGTCGCCGGCTTCCCCACCGGCACCGTCCCTGGCACCGTCCCTGGCACCGTCCCAGGCACCGGCGGCGGCGCCGGTGATGGCGGTGGTGGTGGCTCGCTACGACTACACGGCCGGCCGCCCAGACGAGCTGTCGCTGGCCAGGGGTGCGCGCATCGCCGTGACGGACAAGTGCAGCGACGGCTGGTGGCGCGGCCACCTGCCCGGCGGCGCCACGGGATGGTTCCCCGGGAACTACGTCGCTCACAGCGCGTCGGCGGACGCCGCGGACGCCGCGGACGACGCGGCCGCAGCCACCGGCACCGCGGCTACCGGGAGCGGCGGTCGTGGTGGTGATAGAGGAGGAAGAGGAGGAGGTTGGAGAGGAGGTGGTGGTAGTGGTGGTGGCGATAGAGGAGGAGGAGGAGGAAATGTGCTGGAGGTGGTGCTGGCCAAGTACCCGTTCAGCGCCAGCAGCAGCGAGGAGCTGAGCTTTGGGCTGGGCGAGCACCTGGAGGTGCTGGACAAGCCTCTCGACGACCCAGAGTGGTGGCACTGCCGGAGGGCCGATGGAGCCACGGGGATGGTTCCACGCAACTACGTGCGGGTGGGTGTGGGTGGGTAGGGTGGGTGAGTAGGGTTGTTAGGGTGGGTGGGTGAGGGTGGGTCGGGTGGGTGTGGGTGGGTAGGGTGGGTGAGTAGGGTTGTTAGGGTGGGTGAGTAGGGTGGGTAGAGTGGGTAGGGTGGGTTGTTAGGGTGGGTGGGTAGGGTGGGTCGGGTGGGTGTGGGTGGGTAGGGTGGGTGAGTAGGGTTGTTAGGGTGCGTGGGTAGGATGGGTAGGGTGGGTGGGTATGGTACGGGTGGGATCCCTCGAAGTCGAGTAGTCATTTGCCTCCAGGTGTCACTCGTCCGTGTTGTGAGGGTGGGCCCTGGCTGGCCATCAGAATCAGAAAGGGTTTTATTCGCCATGAAAGTTCGCACAGACAAGGAATTTACTTTGGCAGGAAGGTGCATACATTCAACATATATGAATCTTAAATCTTAATATAAAGTAGCTATAAGATACAATCTAAAAATACAAAGAAATACAAATAGGGTAACATAGTGTAAATATGGCAAGGTGTCATTTTGTAGATAAAATGTTAAAGTCAGTGTAAGCCCTTGGCCTTGTTGAAGAGGCCAGCAGCGGCTGGGAAGAAACTGTTTTTGTGGCGTGAGGTTTTGGTCCTGATGGACCGCAACCTTCTGTCGGAGGGGAGTAGCTGGAACAGAGAGTGTCCAGGGTGGGTGGAATCGGCCACAATCTTCCTCGCTCCCCTCATGGTCCTCGAGGTGTGCAGGTCCTCGAGGGTTGGTAGATTGCAGCCAATCACCTTCTTAGCAGTGTGGATGATACGCTGCAGTCTGCTCTTGTCCTTGGCAGTGGCAGCAGCGTACCAGACGGTTATGGAGGAGGTGAGGATGGATTCAATGATTGCTGTATAGAAGTGCACCATCATTGTCTTTGGCAGGTTGAATTTCATCAGCTGCCGTAGGAAGTACATCCTCTGTTGAGCTCTCTTGGTGAGGGAGCTGATGTTCAGTTCCCACTTGAGGTCCCGGGAGAGAATAGTGCCCAGGAAGCGGAAGGACTCTACAATTTTGACTGGGGAGTCTAACAGGGTGATGGGGGTGAGTGGGGCTGTATTCTTCCTGAAGTCCACAACCATCTCAACTGTCTTTAGAGCATTTAGCTCTAAGTTGTTCTGGCTACACCAGGTCACCAGGTTGTCAGCTTCCCACCTATAGTCAGACTCATCCCCACCAGAGATCAGCCCAATGAGGGTGGTGTCGTCCGCAAACTTCAAGAGTTTGACGGACAGATGATTGGAGGTGCAGCTGTTGGTGTACAGGGAAAAGATCAGTGGGGAAAGGACGCAGCCCTGAGGAGTTCCGGTGCTGATGGACCTGGAATCAGAGACTTGTGTTCCCAGCTTAACGCACTGCTTCCTGTCAGACAGGAAGTCTGTGATCCACCTGCAGGTGGAGTCGGGCACGTTCAGCTAGGAAGAGCTTGTCCTGAAGCAGGGCAGAGATGATGGTGTTGAAGGCAGAGCTGAAGTCCACAAACAGGATCCTGGCGTAGGATGCTGGGGCGTCCAGATGCTGTAGGGTAAAGTGGGAGGGCCATGTTAACTGCATCGTCCACAGACCTGTTGGCTCTGTAGGCAAACTGAAGGGGGTCCAGGAGAGGGTCTGTGATGGCTTTGAGGTGTGCCAGGAGCAGGCGCTCAAAAGACTTCATTACCACAGATGTAAGGGCGACCGGTCTATAGTCATTTAGTTTTGTTGGCCTTAGCTTTTTGGGCACAGGGATGATGGTGGAGGACTTGAGACAGGCTGGTACATGGCATGTCTCCAGGGAGGTGTTAAAGATGTTGGTGAACACCGGAGACAGCTGGTCAGCGCAGTGCCTGAGGGTGAGTCCGGCCCAGCTGCTTTGCGTGGGTTCTGCCTCTTGAAAAGTCTATTCATTTCTCCCTCCTTAACGGAGAGAGTCATCTCTGTAGTATGGGCGGGGGATGGGGCCTCTTGGGTGGGAAGGGGTAGTTCAGGACAGTCCAATTGTCTTTCAAATCTGCAGTAGAACTCGTTCAGGTCGTTGGCCAGGCATGAGTCGTTAGTGGTGTGGGGGGCTCTGGGCTTGTAGCTGGTGATCTGCCTGAGCCCTCTCCAGACAGAAGCGGAGTCGTTAGCAGAGAACTGGTGTTTTAGTCTCGCTGAGTAAAGTCGTTTAGCCTCTCTCACCACCTTGCTAAACCTGTTCTTAGACTCCTTGAATCTGTCTCTATCAACACTCCTAAACGCTTCCTCCTTCTCCAACCTCAACCTTCTGAGCTTTGCTGAGAACCAGGACTTGTTGTTGTTGAAGTTCACCCTGGCACGTTTTGGAATACAGCAGTCCTCACAGAAGCTGATGTACGACGTCACAGCCTCTGTGAGTTCATCCAGACTATTGGTAGCAGTCGTGAACATATCCCAGTCAGTACAGTCTAAGCACGCCCGCAAATCTTCCACAGCCTCACTGGTCCACTGTTTAGATGTCCTCACAGCAGGTTTACAGAGCTTTAGTTTCTGCCTGAACGCAGGAATCAGGTGGACCATGGCATGGTCAGAGTGTCCCAGTGCTGCTCGGGGGATGGCGTGGTAGGCTCTACTGACTGTAGTGTAGCAGTGATCCAGTGTTCCCTTCTCTGGTAGGGCATTTAATGAATCGTATGTATTTGGGGTGTTCGTGGCTGAGATTACCTTTGTTAAAGTCGCCAAGTACGATAACCAACGAATCTGGATTTGCTCGCTCCACACTCAGAATCTGGTCGGCGAGCATGCGTTGGGCCTCTTTAACCTGAGGACAAGGCGGCAAGTAAACTACGACCAAAATGAGCGACGCGAACTCGCGAGGCGAGTAGAAAGGGTTTACAGGTTATAAAAATTGATTCAAGGAGTGGAGAACAATGTTGCAGAATCACTGTGACATCTACACACCAGCCACTGTTAATGTAAAAACAAATACCACCGCCTTTCGTCTTGCCGGAGAGTGCTATGTCACGATCCGATCTTACAAGATGGAATCCTGCCAGTTGTAGCGCAGTGTCCGAAATCAAATCACACAGCCATGTCTCCGTGAAGCACAAAACAGAGGATGAAAGAAAGTCTCTATTTTTCACCATCAGTAGCTGAAGTTCGTCTATTTTGTTGCACAGTGAACGTACTTTGCAGAGGGAAAAAGCTCGGAAGCACTGTTCGGAACCCGCGTCTGTGTAGCCGTACTAGAGCCCCCGACCGTTTACCCCTTGGGTGGCGTTTCGCTGCTTGAGCAAAGCCTAGCGCAGCTTTGACTGGAATGGCCACTTATTCTGCCGCTGGACGCAGAAAAGTGGGAAATAAATCCACAGGAGTTGTTTCCCTGATGTTTAAAAGTTCGTCTCTTGGTAGGGAACTCCGAAAATCTTGGCAAAACACTGAATTAACAGACAAAACAAGACAAAACAGGGCGCACCGACCGGCTGAGGCTACCATCATCGGCGCCATCTTCTCACCAGCACGGGTGTGCTGAACAGCAGGCCCCTCTAACCAGCACGCGTGTGCTGAACAGCAGGCCCCTCTCACCAGTACCGGTGTGCTGAACAGCAGGCCTCTCTCACCAGCACGTGTGTGCTGAACATCAGTCCCCTCTCACCAGCACGGGTGTGCTGAACTGCAGGCCCCTCAACAGCAGGCCTCTCTCACCAGCACGAGTGTACTGAACAGCAGGCCCCTTTCACCAGCACGGATGTGCTGAACAGCAGTCCCCTCTCACCAGCACGGTTGTGCTGAACAGCAGGCCTCTCTCACTAGTGCTGTTGTGCTGAACAGCAGGCTTCTCTCACCAGCACGGGTGTGCTGAACAGCAGGCCCCTCTCACCAGCACGGGTGTGCTGAACAGCAGGCCCCTCTCACCAGCACGGGTGTGCTGAACAGCAGGCCCCTCTCACCAGCACGGGTGACCAAGCAAAACAAGACAGAAGCGAAACAAAACAGGGCCCACCAACCGGCCGAGCCTGCCATCATCGGCGCCATCTCTCGGGTCCAGAGATGGCTGAGCGGGCCAATCCGTGACCCGCAGATCTTGACGCAGCAGGTGGCAAGGAATGGTCCATCCTGGAGCTCCCACTCACTGCTGCCACTGTCCCCGGTGCGTGTCGCCTCGCGGCGTCCTCTTCTCCTGGCCTTCAACTCTCTTCGTTCCACCTCAAAATGCTGGGTCCCATCGTTGATTTTGGCCCTCCTGTGATGGTCCATCACGAAGCCACACAGATCCGCCAGCTGTTTGGAATGTGTGTGGCTTCGCTTGGGGTGCATGTTCAGGTTGTCGTGGCATCCCTTTGACCTCCGCAACGTGATCCATCGCTGAGCTGGGAATGGAAGATTTGCCTTGGAAGCCTCGAGTCGTTCATCCTCACGAGGTGACCCGCCCCATCTGAGTTGATGCTTCATGATGATGGCCTCTGTGCTGGATGAGTTAGATCGCTCCAGGACACCGATATTAGTTCGTCTTTTTTTCCCCCAGGGTGATGTTTAGTGTTTTCCCGAGACGGCATTGATGAAACCTATAATTTAGCAATCTTTGAAATAACTTAATCAGCCAGACCTTGCGTAAATTGTGTTTTGACCGACCCTCTGTGCTGCATTATATTGTTTCCAAAATTTTACTAAATCTTGTTTCAATTTGATGTGCTTCTCCATCTCTCTTTGTTTCCTCTCTCTCTCTTAAATTTAGCTCTTCTATACCTGATGATGATTACTTGCGTTGCCATCGAAACGTCGTATGCTATTATGTAACTTTATTTCATTATTATTTCTTATTTCTACCGTGACTTTACCGAAAAAAACAAAGAGTAATTCCTGCAGTCACGAAAGCACCAAATCAAGTTGTTTGTGTTGTTGCCAGGCGATGAATGATTTTTCGCGTCTTGGCAATGAGGCCTGTGATTTCCTGGCTGTTGTCATCAAAACCAGTCACAGTTTTTTTTTCCGTCTCGTGTGGCCAACGGTGTTTCCACATCCTGGTTATAACCGCCGTCTTCGGTTGTGTCCAGTACTCATGAACATTTCCTGAAGCGTTGGTTGGTGCCGAGTCTTTGAGCTAGTCGCTCTTTCAGTCGGGCCTGTACTGCTGGGTTTTTTACTCTGGTTATATTGAGTCTTTTCCTCTGTAGTTTCGGTCGGCTGATGTGTTTGTGGTTTAGTTTGAGAGTTATCACTGATCTAATTAGTCTGTGGTCAGTCCAGCAATCGTCTGCATTGATCGTGGCACGAGTGATGCGGACATCTGTGCTGTCAAGCTTCCTGACAATCACGTTAGTCCAGTAAATGCCATTGGTGTGATCGAGGGTGGCACCAGGAGGTATTAAGGCTTATTCTTCTGCCCGAATAGGGTTGTTGGTGATTGTCAGGGCATGCTCAGAGCAGGTTGTAAGAAGAAGGTGACCATTGGAGTTTGACTTTCCAACTCCCTCTTTACCAATGACACCCTTCCACATTCGATTGTCTCTCCCAACTCTTGCATTTGAAGTCGCCGAGGAGAATCGGCTTGTCAGTTTTTGGCGAACTCTGAAGGATTTGGTTGAGTTGGCTATAGTAGGTCGCCTTGGTGTCTTCTTCAGAGTTGCAGCGTTGGTGTGGAGGCACCGATGATGGTCGCATATTGGTCCATTGCGAGTTTCAGGCGTAGGGTCATAAAACACTCATGGATACCAATTGGAAGCTCACTTAAGCTGTCGATGGACACGTTGTCCATTGCGAGTTTCAGGCGTAGGGTCATAAAACACTCGTGGATACCAATTGGAAGCTCACTTAAGCTGTCGATGGACATGTTGGTCTTTTGCGAGTTTCAGGCGTAGGGTCATGAAACACTCATGGATACCAATTGGAAGCTCACTTAAGCTGTCGATGGACACGTTGTCCATTGCGAGTTTCAGGCGTAGGGTCATAAAACACTCGTGGATACCAACTGGAAGCTCACTTAAGCTGTCGATGGACACGTTGTCCATTGCGAGTTTCAGGCGTATAGTCATAAAACACTCATGGATACCAATTGGGAGCTCACTTAAGCTGTCGATGGACACGTTGTCCATTGCGAATTTCAGGCGTAGGGTCATAAAACACTCATGGATACCAATTGGAAGCTCATTCCACGGACCAATGTTCAGGTTAAATTTCGATTTAAAGCTCTCGTGACTGCAATGATTCATCTTCTTTGGTTCTTTCGGTAAATTCACCACCACGTAGAATGAGAATAAAATAATAAATTGATAAAATAAAATAACACAATAATATTCTCACGACGTTTCGGCCACAATAGGCCGAAACGTAGGCCGCTGAAGATGAAGGCCGCTTGTGTTGTGGCCGAAACGTCGTGAGAATATTATTGTGTTATTTTATTTTATCAATTCATTATTTTATTCTCATTCTACGTGGTGGTGACTTTACCGAAAGAACCAAAGAAGAATGTTCAGGTTGAATTTATTTCTGCTTCGACCGCGATTATTGACGCCCCCTCTGGTCGCCGTAAGCCAGACAGGGTGTTGCTGGGCAGGGTATGTTTAGGACAACTTCTCGAGCCCCCTTCCCCCATCTGGGGTGAACAGAGCGGATCCTTGTGGGCTGCTCAGTCACAGCTGCAAACGCATGGGCGACCTTCCAACAGCTGCCGTCCTTGGTCACCTGGGTCGTGACTTGGAGCTTCGAGCTGCGTAGGCCTGCCCCCCGCTCGATAATTATTGCCCAACCGCCCAGGGGCTTCGGGCGTGCAGTGTGGCGGTGCGACGGCCACAGCTTCCCCGGAGGGTGCCCGTTCGTCAACACGTTTATCGTGCACTGTCTGTTGCACGCCCGGTGAACCCGCGCGGTCACTTAACCAGGAACCAAGGCCCCGGGTCCGGTCCGGTGGCGAGGCAGGAAACCGAGACGATCGAAAGGTTCGTCCCGAGGCGCCGGGCATCCACAGTGGCTCCTCCGCCGCGTACCGTTGGCCGTCTGGAACCGTGGCTCGTTACGCCCCACCGAGCCGTGGGTGCCGTTGGCCTGCTTGGTATCCACCCGGGGTTCTAATCGGGGTTTGATCCCTGAGCCCGAGCGGCTAACCAGAGCACCGTTGGCCAGCGCGGTTTTCAGGTGGGCCCGGACAGGCCCCTCGCGGTTACTGGAGCGGCCCAGGTGGTGTAACCAGCCGCCGTACTTCACCCTGTCTGGCAATCCTGTGGGTAGGGTGTGGGTAGGGTGGGTGTGGGTGGGTGGGTGTGGGTGGGTAACGTGTGGGTAGGATGAGTAGGGTGTGGGTAGGGTGGGTAGGGTGTGGGTAGGGTGGGTGTGGGTGGGTGTGGGTGGGTAACATGTGGGTAGGATGGGTAGGGTGTGGGTTGGGTGGGTAGGGTGTGGGTAGGGTGGGTGTGGATGGGTGTGGGTGGGTAACGTGTGGTTAGGGTGGGTGTGGGTGTGTGGGTGGTTAGGGTGGGTGTGTGGGTACGTGTGTGTGTGTGTGGCCTCAAGGTGCACATGGCCTGGCACAAGCGTCGTGGTGACGTCACCGCCACTTAGTGGCGAATGGCGGCTGTTGTTGTTGCTGTTGTTGTGTAAGTCGATGTTTGTGTGTGTGTGTGTGGGTAGGGTGGCTGGGACGCCTCCGCCGGCCCCACACGGTTGCTATCGGCGACACAATCGGCGGTGCCGCACTTCCACGGGGACCCCCACAATGGCACGGATGCCGGGCGGACCCACAACCACCAGCACCACCACCAGCAGCTACAGCAGCGGCGGCAGCAGCAGCAGCCGCCCCCGCGGGGTGCCGTCAGCCGATTCCCGGGCCGGCCGTGGTACCGGGCCTCCATGAGTCGCCACATGGCGGAGGCAGCGCTGAACGAGCGGGGGGAGAACGGAGACTTTGTCGTCCGCAACTCGGAGTCCTCGGTGGGCATGCGACTGGCGTCTCGGTCTTGTCCCTCTCTCTGTCTCGTCTCTCTGTCTCGTCTCTCTATCTCTCTCTCTCTTTCTTTCTCTGTCATCTGCGCGGAAGCTACCTGGGGTCTGTCGCTCCGCACGAAGCTTCAGGTCTTCTCGGCCACGGTCATGCCCCTCCCTTCTCTACGCTTGCGAAACGTGGACCCCCTTAATGGAACATCTTCGTCGGTTAGAAACATTTGGGCTGGACTGCCTACGATCCATTCTGGGTTTAACCTGCAGGCTGGATTGTGTGAGGAGCTCACAAATTCTCGAAAGGTCTGGGCAAGGTCCCATCGGTGAGCTCCTCCGGCGTGCAAGGCTGCGTTGGCTGGGTCAGGTAGCCCGCATGCCCAGCCACTGCATTACTAAACAGCTTTTGTTCAGTCGGATCGAGGGGGCTAAACGGGCGCGGCACGGGCTAGAGAAGAGATGGTGGTGCAGGAGGACGTGGAGCTGAGTGGAGTTGACGATGACTGGTACCAGCAGTGTCAAGATCGGCCTCTGTGGAGGAGGCTCGTGAAGGACGCTATTGAGCAGTTGGAGGTAGTCGCCCTCTAACAACAACGGAGGGCGGAGGAGCAACGCTCACAACAACGAGCGGAGTGCCGGGTGGCTAAATCACAGCAAGTTGCCACAGTAGGGGGCACAGGTGGTGCATCGGCCACTCATCTCAGTCAGTCGACCCGTGGCACCTTGGTCTGCCCCGTGACCTGCCAGCGGGCGTTCGACACTTCACGTGGCCTCAACGTGCACCTAGCCTGGCACAGGCGCCGTGGGTGAAGTCACCGCCACCTAAGTGGCGAATGCCGGTTGTTGTTGGTGCGAGCTGGTCTCTGGACGACAACAACAACAACAACAAAGAGCTGTGCAGCTCATTGGAATCAATGTTGTTGATGATTGTGATTGCGATGAATGTGGTCGGAGGTGGAGGGTTGTGGGAGGACTCGGCTTTCACGGTGGCCCTCTCAGAAGCACTGAGCGTGGTGACGTCACCACGCGAATGGCGGTTGTTGTTGGGTGGGGTTTGCCAGAGCCGCGCCCGACCGCCTTTGTCTCCCCAGTCCACTCCGCACCAATTATTTGAGTTCGAGCCGGCCTCGGCAGGGGAGGCCCAGGAGAGGCTCTGAATCATCGTAATTGGTGTTGGCCGTGAGCGGGAATCGAACTTGGATCGCCTGGGGTTCATAGCTCCGTGCATTATCAGAACAGAATCAGAGTCTATGGGTCTCTATGGGTCTCTATGAATCTCTATGGGTCTCTATGAGTATATGGGTCGCTATGAGTCTATGGATCTCTATGGGTCTCTATGAGTCTATGGATCTCTCTGGGTCTCTATGATTCTATGGATCTCTATGAGTCTATGGATCTCTATGGGTCTCTATGAGTCTATGGATCGCTGTGGGTCTCTATGAGTCTATGGATCTCTATGGGTGGCTATGAGTCTATCGATCTCTATGGGTCTCTATGATTCTATGGATCTCTCTGGGTATCTATGATTCCATGGATCTCTCTGGGTCTCTATGAATCTAGGGATCTCTATGGGTCTCTATGAGTCTATGGATCTCTATGGGTCTCTATGATTCTATATATCTCTGGGTATCTATGAGTCTATGGATCTCTATGAGTCTCTATGAGTCTATGGGTCTTTATGAGTCTATGGGTCTCTATGGGTCTCTATGAATCTCTATGGGTCTCTATGAGTATATGGGTCTCTATGAGTCTATGGATCTCTATGGGCCTCTATGAGTCTATGGATCTCTCTGGGTCTCTATGATTCTATGGATCTCTATGAGTCTATGGATCTCTATGGGTCTCTATGAGTCTATGGATCGCTGTGGGTCTCTATGAGTCTATGGATCTCTATGGGTCTCTATGAGTCTATGGATCTCTATGGGTCTCTATGAGTCTATGGGTCTCTCTGGGTCTCTATAAGTCTATGGATCTCTATGGGTCTCTATGAGTCTATGGATCGCTGTGGGTCTCTATGAGTCTACGGATCTCTATGGGTCGCTATGAGTCTATGGATCTCTATGGGTCTCTATGATTCTATGGATCTCTCTGGGTATCTATGATTCCATGGATCTCTCTGGGTCTCTATGGATCTAGGGATCTCTATGGGTCTCTATGAGTCTATGGATCTCTATGGGTCTCTATGATTCTATAGATCTCTCTGGGTATCTATGAGTATATGGATCTCTATGGGTCTCTATGAGTCTATGGGTCTCTATGAGTCTATGGGTCTCTATGGATCTCTATGAGTCTCTATGAGTCTATGGATCTCTATGGGTCTCTATGGGCCTATGGATCTCTATGGGTCTCTATGATTCTATAGATCTCTCTGGGTATCTATGAGTCTATGGATCTCTATGAGTCTCTATGAGTCTATGGGGCTCTATGAGTCTATGGGTCTCTATGGATCTCTATGAGTCTCTATGAGTCTATGGATCTCTATGGGTCTCTATGAGTCTATGGATCTTTATGGGTCTCTATGATTCTATAGATCTCTCTGGGTATCTATGAGTCTATGGATCTCTATGAGTCTCTATGAGTCTATGGGTCTCTATGAGTCTATGGGTCTCTATGGATCTCTCTGGGTCTCTATGAGTCTATGGGTCTCTATGAGTCTCTATGAGTCTATGGGTCTCTATGAGGCTGTGGGTCTATATGGATCTCTATGAGTCTCTATGAGTCTATGGATCTCTATGGGTCTCTATGAGTCTATGGATCTCTATGAGTCTCTCTGGGTCTCTGCTCTGGGTGACCCACAGTCGCAGACCGCCACCACCACTCCTGCCGGAGACTTTTTAATGTTTCCATTCGTGAATCACCACCATCACCATCACCACCACCATCACCACCATCACCATCACCACCACCATCACCATCACCACCATCACCACCACCATCACCACCACCATCATCACCACCACCATCACCACCATCACCACCATCACCACCACCATCACCACCATCACCATCACCACCACCATCACCACCACCATCACCATCACTACCACCATCACCATCACCACCACCATCACCACCATCACCACCATCACCACCACCACCATCACCACCATCACCACCATCACCACCACCACCATCACCACCACCATCACCACCACCATCACCACCATCACCACCACCACCATCACCACCACCACCACCATCACCACCACCACCATCACCACCATCACCACCACTATCATCACCACCACCATCACCACCACCATCATCACCACCATCACCACCACCACCACCACCATCACCACCACCATCATCACCACCACCACCACCATCATCACCACCATCATCACCACCACCACCATGGGGCTGTTTCTGCTGCTGCCATGCTGATGTATAGGGGAGGAATTGCCATGAGCCGTCAAGATCTGTTTCACTGATGCCCAGGAGGTAATCACTGCCCCTCCCCTCTCATCCCCCCACCCCCTCCTCCCTCCCCTCCTGTCCCCCCACCTCTCCCCCTCCTCCCTCCCCACCCTCCCCAGCCCAGCGACCTGTCGCTGTCTGTGAGGGCGGCGGGCAGGAATCGCCACTTCAGGGTGGGCACGGCGGGGGGCGTCTTCGGCGTCGGGCAGCGCCTCTTCGGCTCCATGGACGCTCTCGTCGAGCACTACGGCAGGGCCGCCCCCATCTTCACGGGCGGCGGCGGCGAGAGGTTCTACCTCGTCAGGCCGCTACCGTGATGCTCGTCGACTGACGCTGGGCGATGGGTACGGGGCGTGGGGTGACGCCTGCTAGCGATGATTTCCACGGCGGCGTTGAGGTCTCCCGCGTCCCAGCAGCGCGTGATAGCAAGCCCCTGGGCAGTTGCTTCGTCACTGAGAATTTCCAACCGAGGGCAGTCGGTGGCATTGATGCACGGTGTCTCTCGGGGTGCCAATGAATGGACTGACATTGGGCGATGGGTACAGGGCGTGGGGTGACGCTTGCTAGCGATGATTTCCCGGCGACGTTGAGGTCTCCCGCGTCCCAGCAGCGCGTGATAGCAAGCCCCTGGGCGGTAGCTTCGTCACTTGAGAATTTCGAACCGAGGGCAGTCGGTGGCATTGATGCACGGTGTCTCTCGGGGTGCCAATGAATGGACTGACGCTGGGCGATGGGTACCGGGGCGTGGGGTGACGCTTGCTAGCGATGATTTCCCGGCGACGTTAAGTCTCCCGCGTCCCAGCTGCGCGTGATAGCAAGCCCCTGGGCGGTAGCTTCGTCACTGAGAATTTCGAACCAAGGGCAGTCGGTGGCATTGATGCACGGTGTCTCTCGGGGTGCCAATGAATGGACTGACATTGGGCGATGGGTACAGGGCGTGGGGTGACGCTTGCTAGCGATGATTTCCCGGCGACGTTGAGGTCTCCCGCGTCCCAGCAGCGCGTGATAGCAAGCCCCTGGGCAGTTGCTTCGTCACTGAGAATTTCCAACCGAGGGCAGTCGGTGGCATTGATGCACGGTGTCTCTCGGGGTGCCAATGAATGGACTGACATTGGGCGATGGGTACAGGGCGTGGGGTGACGCTTGCTAGCGATGATTTCCCGGCGACGTTGAGGTCTCCCGCGTCCCAGCAGCGCGTGATAGCAAGCCCCTGGGCGGTAGCTTCGTCACTTGAGAATTTCGAACCGAGGGCAGTCGGTGGCATTGATGCACGGTGTCTCTCGGGGTGCCAATGAATGGACTGACGCTGGGCGATGGGTACCGGGGCGTGGGGTGACGCTTGCTAGCGATGATTTCCCGGCGACGTTAAGTCTCCCGCGTCCCAGCTGCGCGTGATAGCAAGCCCCTGGGCGGTAGCTTCGTCACTGAGAATTTCGAACCAAGGGCAGTCGGTGGCATTGATGCACGGTGTCTCTCGGGGTGCCAATGAATGGACTGACATTGGGCGATGGGTACAGGGCGTGGGGTGACGCTTGCTAGCGATGATTTCCCGGCGACGTTGAGGTCTCCCGCGTCCCAGCAGCGCGTGATAGCAAGCCCCTGGGCGGTAGCTTCGCCGCGTGTTGGTTCAGGCGATAGACGGCTGTTTTGAAGAGGGAGAGACGGGGCTGGAAAACGAATGCCGGCCAAAGTTGGACCGCTGTCGTCAAAGGGAAACAAAGACAAAGATCCCCCGTGTAGCCTCTAGCAGACTACTGGGGCAAGTGCTGTTAGTAGTAGCGAGTAGCAGCACCTATACACAGACAAAGATACCCCGTGTAGCCTCTAGCAGACTGCAGGGGCAAGTGCTGTTAGTAGTAGCAAGTAGCAGCAGCGCCTATACACAGACAAAGATCCCCCGTGTAGCCTCTAGCAGACTGTTGGGGCAAGTGCTGTTAGTAGTAGCGAGTAGCAGCAGCACCCATACACAGACAAAGATCCCCCGTGTAGTCTCTAACAGACTGCAGGGACAAGTGCTGTTAGTAGTAGCGAGTAGCAGCGCCTATACACAGACAAAGATCCCCCGTGTAGCCTCTAGCAGACTATTGGGGCAAGTGCTGTTAGTAGTAGCGAATAGCAGCGCCTATACACAGACACATATATATGGTGACTGTAGCTGATGATGCTGATACCAGTGATGATATTGATGAGATTGATGAGAGCGATATGGTGACTGCAGCTGATGATGATAGCTGTGATATTGATGATATTTATGAGAGTGATATTTTGACTGCAGCTGATGATGATGATGATACAAGAGATGATATTGATGAGATTGATGAGAGTGATATGGTGACTGCAGCTGATGATGATAGCTGTGATGATATTGATGATATTGATGAGAGTGATATGGTGACTGCAGCTGATGATGCTGATACCAGTGATGATATTGATGAGAGTGATGAGAGTGATATGGTGACTGCAGCTGATGATGATATTGATGATATTGATGACATTGATATGTTGACTGCAGCTGATGATGATAGCAGAGATGATATTGATGAGATTAATGAGAGTGATATGGTGACTGCATCTGATGATGATAGCAGAGATGATATTGATGAGATTGATGAGAGTGATTTGGTGACTGCAGCTGATGATGATAGCAGAGATGATATTGATGAGATTGATGAGAGTGATATGGTGACTGCAGCTGATGATGATATTGATGAGATTGATATGGTGACTGCAGCTGATGATGCTGATACCAGTGATGATATTGATGAGATTGATGAGATTAATGAGAGTGATATGGTGACTGCAGCTGCTGCTGATGATGATTGTTAATTGTATTTTTTACCCTTTTATCTGGCAACAAACTGACACCTTTATTTTACAAGGAGTCATGTTTGCATTGACCACAATACCTGCGGTCGGAATGCAAACAAAAAACACAACTCTGAAAATGTATTGGCACTGTCCTTTAAAATTGGAAAAAAAGGTGTCAGTTTTGTTGCAAGATAAAAAGGGTCAAAAAACAATTCTCAAATTTCGCTACTGGCAAAGGAGGTTCCAATGGTGATGATGATGATGATTGTTGGGTCATGAAAATTATCTCTCAAGAAGAATGCTCGAGTGATTTTGTTTTTTTTGTATTTTCATTTGCGAATAAAAAAATAAATAACACGGATTCCAAAGTCTCCCGGTGCACACGAGCAAACGCGAGGCGCTCCCAGCTGCTGGTGGACATTCCACGTTCCCAGGGCGGGAGCCGGGAGTGCTCGAAGCACAACGTTGTCGAGCGAGATTCATGTTGTTTATAGTGTCGAATTCGTGTCTAACTGTGGTGTGTCAGGTTAACACAGAGTAGGGCGTTTTGCGATCAATGTCATCCATAACAGAGGGGGGTGTTTGGTGGTTAGATCGCGTAAAAATAACAAACGCTGTGTCGTTAAACCCGCCACCACCCGGGGTTTGTCACGTAAACGGAACGTAGCCAATTCGTTACTAGTACAGCACCCGTGTATAGTGTAGTGTATAGTGTAGTGTATAGTGTAGTGTATAGTAGTGTAGTGTATAGTAGTGTATAGTGTAGTGTATAGTAGTGTAGTGTATAGTGTAGTGTATAGTAGTGTATAGTGTAGTGTATAGTAGTGTATAGTGTAGTGTATAGTGTAGTGTATAGTGTAGTGTATAGTAGTGTATAGTGTAGTATAGTAGTACAGCACTCGTGTATAGTGTAGTCGTGTAGTGTATAGCGTAGTATAGTAGTGTATAGTAGTGTATAGTGTAGTGTATAGTAGTGTAGTGTATAGTAGTGTAGTGTATAGTAGTGTAGTGTATAGTGTAGTGTATAGTTTATAGTAGTATAGTGTAGTGTATAGTGTAGTGTATAGTGTAGTGTATAGTGCAGTGTATAGTAGTGTAGTGTATAGTGTAGTGTATAGTAGTATAGTGTATAGTGTAGTGCATAGTGTATAGTAGTGTAGTGTATAGTGTAGTCGTGTAGTGTATAGCGTAGTATAGTAGTGTATAGTGTCGTGTATAGTGTAGTGTATAGTAGTGTAGTGTATAGTGTAGTGTATAGTATATAGTAGTGTAGTGTATAGTGTAGTCGTGTAGTGTATAGCGTAGTATAATAGTGTAGTGTATAGTGTAGTATATAGTAGTATAGTGTAGTGTATAGTGTAGTGTATAATAGTGTAGTGTATAGTAGTGTAGTATATAGTGCAGTGTATAGTGTAGTGTATAGCGTAGTATATAGTCGTGTAGTGTATAGCGTTGTATAGCAGTGTAGTGTATAGCGTAGTGTATAGTGTAGTGTATAGCGTAGTGTATAGTGTATAGTAGTGTAGTGTATAGTGTAGTCGTGTAGTGTATAGCGTAGTATAGTAGTGTAGTGTATAGCGTAGTGTATAGTAGTGTAGTGTATAGTGTAGTGTATAGTAGTGTAGTGTATAGTGTAGTGTATAGCGTAGTATAGTAGTGTAGTGTATAGTGTAGTATATAGTAGTGTAGTGTATAGTGTAGTGTATAGTGTAGTGTGTAGTGTAGTGTATAGTGTAGTGTATAGTGTAGTGTATAGTGTAGTATACTAGTACAGCACTCGTGTATAGTGTAGTCGTGTAGTGTATAGCGTAGTATAGTAGTGTAGTGTATAGTAGTGTATAGTGTAGTGTATAGTAGTGTAGTGTATAATGCAGTGTATAGTGTAGTCTATAGTAGTGAAGTGTATAGTAATGTATAGTGTATAGTAGTTTAGTGTGAGTAGTGTAGTGTAGTAGTGTATAATGCAGTGTATAGTGTAGTCTATAGTAGTGTAGTGTATAGTAGTGTAGTGGATAGTAGTGTAGTGTATAGTGTAGTGTATAGCAGTGTAGTGTCAGTAGTGTAGTGTATAATGCAGTGTATAGTGTAGTCTATAGTAGTGTAGTGTATAGTAGTGTAGTGTATAGTAGTGTAGTGTATAATGCAGTGTATAGTGTAGTGTATAGTAGTGTAGTGTATAATGCAGTGTATAATGTAGTGTATAGTAGTGTAGTGTATAGTAGTGTAATGTATAATGCAGTGTATAGTGTAGTGTATAGTAGTGTAGTGTATAGTAGTGTAGTGTATAATGCAGTGTATAGTGTAGTGTATAGTAGTGTTGTGTATAGTAGTGTAGTGTATAGTGCAGTGTATAGTGTAGTCTATAGTAGTGTAGTGTATAGTAGTGTAGTGTATAGTAGTGTAGTGTATAATGCAGTGTATAGTGTAGTGTATAGTAGTGTAGTGTATAGTAGTGCAGTGTATAATGCAGTGTATAATGTAGTGTATAGTAGTGTAGTGTATAATGCAGTGTATAGTGTAGTGTATAGTGTAGCGTATAGTAGTGTAGTGTATAGTAGTGCAGTGTATAATGCAGTGTATAATGTAGTGTATAGTAGTGTAGTGTATAATGCAGTGTATAGTGTAGTGTATAGTGTAGCGTATAGTAGTGTAGTGTATAGTAGTGTAGTGTATAATGCAGTGTATAGTGTAGTGTATAGTAATGTAGTGTATATTGTAGTGTAGTGTATAGTAGTGTAGTGTATAGTGTAGTGTATAGTAGTGTCGTGCATAGTAGTGTAGTGTATAGTAGTGTAGTGTATAATGCAATGTATAGTGTAGTGTATAGTAGTGTATAGTAGTGTAGTGTATAGTAGTGTAGTGTATAGTGTAGTGCATAGTAGTGTAGTGTATAGTAGTGTCGTGTATAATGCAGTGTATAGTGTAGTGTATAGTAGTGTAGTGTATAGTAGTGTATAGTAGTGTAGTGTATAGTAGTGCAGTTTATAATGCAGTGTATAGTAGTGTATAGTAGTGGTGTATAATGCAATGTATAGTGTAGTGTATAGTAGTGTAGTGTATAGTAGTGCAGTGTATAAGGCATTGTATAGTGTGTGTGTTCTCCTGATGACGATTGCTTGTTTTGCTATCGAAACGTGATATTTTTTATATTTTTTTACTTTTCACTTGTGTTATTTTATTGTTCTATCTACGTGATTTTAGCGAAAGACCCAAATAATTTGTACAATTGTGTCGTCAAACCAACAGGTCGGCCGGTGATGCCGATTGTAATGACTGGCGAAACGTCGTAGCTCGGATTGTAAGTGTTGTTGATTTGCTCTCCAACACAACCGGTGTGCTGAACTACTATACTACACTATACACTACACTATACATTACTATACACTACGACACTATACACTACACTATACACTACTATACACTACACTATATACTACACTACACACTACTATACACGACACTACTATACACTACACTATACACTACACTATACACTACACTACTATACACTACACTATACACTACACTATAAACTACTATACACTACACTATATACTACACTACACACTACTATACACTACACTACTATACACTACACTATACACTACTATACACTACACTACTATACACTACACTACTATACACTACACTACTATACACTACACTACTATACACTACACTACTATACACTACACCACTATACACTACACTTCTATACACTACACTATACACTACTATACACTACACTACTATACACTACACCACTATACACTACACTACTATACACTACTATACACTACACTACTATACACTACACTACTAAACACTACACCACTATACACTACACTTCTATACACTACACTATACACTACTATACACTACACTACTATACACTACACCACTATACAATACACTACTATACACTACACTAGTGTTGTGCTAGTAACGAATTG